TCAAAGGATGATGGGAATGGAGACTCACTTTAATGCCTAAAACACAGCTCCTTCACCCACCTGGTAAGACCACCTCCCCCACCTTCATTCAAAGGAGGCTTCCTTGATTACATCTTTATGGATCCTCTCCTTTTTGTCAAAGGACAATGGCCGCCTTGGGGATACATTCATGCGGCTGATGCAAGAAACCGCCGCTCGAGTGCCATACATGACAGCGGTGGGTAACCATGAGAGCGCTTAGTGAGTTCTTTGATGCTTACTTATGTTCATTGTTTCATTGAATATGTATTTGGCTATGTCCACTCTCCTCCAACATATTCAAGCCACCTGCCTTCAAATGCGCTGCCTTTAGTGATGATTTAACCAGCCTCCCTGATTAAAAAAGGCATTCTTTCTCGTCTATTAAACTAAAGGTTGTGTGAACGAGGAGAAAGGGCTGGAGGGAGGGAGAGCAGAAGGGTATTATAATCGCCTGGCAAGGAGGAGGAGGGGGCGGAGGGGAGAAGCACGAAGACCAGCTACCACTATTCTTTGAGAGGGAGAAAGAAGGGGGGAAGATTAAGGAGAGCCCTTCAACCGAATAACACAAGACAAAAAAGCAGACTGTAAATGTACCACTAACAAGTCTTATTTTGATTCTATTCTTTCCATTTCAGCAACTTTTCACATTACAAAGCACGTTTCAAAATGCCTGGCGAAAGTAACGACGACATGTTCTACAGGTAGGTCCTGTGCTAAAATTTAAATTTTTTCCCGACCTTTAAACCAATCTTTGTGTGAAAGCTCAATGAACTCCAAAAATGAACGTCAATTTTTAGCATAGACGTAGGACGAGTCCACTTTGTGGCCTACGTGTCCGACTACTACTACTTTTTGCAATTTGGAACTCAACAAATCTACCGCCAATACGTTTGGTTGGAGAAGGACCTTCAGGTATCGCCTTTTATCCACAAATAAACAAAGTTCCACTTTTTTCATACAACACACACACAATGTTATATATAACTTATTATAGGTTTCTGTAGCGTTTTTTTTCTGCTTTTTTTACCCATTATAAGGAGGCAAATAAACCTGAAAATCGAGCTCAACGTCCGTGGATAGTTGTCTTCAGTCACCGGCCTATGTATTGTTCAAACAGTGACGACGCTGAGCACTGCACCAATCCAGACAATTGGATAAGGACGGGAATACCCTTCACAGATGGCAAGTCTAAGTACTACCTTCTTGGTTTGGAGGAGTTGTTCTACCGTGAAGGCGTTGATGTTGTGTTTGCTGCGCACGAGCACTCTTACGAGCGTTGTTACCCAACCTACAAACTAGAGGTAGGTTCTCGCCTTATCACATTCATCGCACGTTAACTTTAAAAGGTAGTTGCATATTTGTAGATAAAATGTTAAATTGGAAGCGCCTTTCACTAATTTTTGTAGCCTTGTCATAACCCATTTGAATGACTGATGATCTGACTCGGAAGGTGTCAGGCACTCACTGCTTTGCATATTTACGAATACATTTGCCCTAGACTTAAGTAAAAAGACATAAGAATATTGCAGATTTACGATAATTGAGTTTTGTCTAGCAACAGATTTTCGTCCTGCTTCTCCTTTAGATGAGATCCCTTCAAACACGTAAAAATGCAAATTCTTTCCTTTCACATACTTTCAATAAAGTAGAGTCAATATGTGTAACATTCTTAGTCTTCATTATTAGGTTACAATGACTTGTTTTTCTTTTGTTATTATCATTGGCAATTCCTTCCCATCCAGTAAAGTCGATTTCTACA